AACATCGTCTGCACACTGCAGTGTGTGCCCATCATCCAAAGCAAAGTCTCTTTCTGTCCTCATTCATCCTTTCTTTGCCCACTCCAAATACCCCCACCCGCTTTTCCTCTGGCTATCACCACACTGTTGTCTGTGTCCATATATATATATATATATATATATATATATATATATATATATGAATCCTGAAGGGAATTTGGGGAAAAAGGAATTGTGATGCTCACTTTGTACATTAGAAAAGACTATATGTATGTATGTGTGTGTGTATATACATTCAGGATTCATGGGTACAATGTAAAGTGTAGCACCAGATACATAGTCCAATCCTTTTATCAGATAAGTTCATTTGCACCTTTCCAAATGGTTTGGATTCATTTACAAGGAAATACTTAGATAGATAAAGATACTCAGGTAAGAATAGCTACATGATGTGCTAAAGCATCCTTTTTTATAAAAAGGGAGGTCAGTCCTGACCGGTGTGCTCAGTGGTTAGAGCATTGGCCCATGCACCAAAGGGTTCTCAGGTTTGATTCCCAGTCAAGGGCATGTACTTGCATTGCAGGTTCAATCCCCGGCCCCAGTCGGGGTGTGTGCAGGAGGTAACTAACCGATGTTTCTCTCTCTCTCCCCCTCCTTCCTTCCCTTCCACTCTCTCTAAGAATCAGTAGAAAAAATATGTTCGAGGTGGGGGTGGGGGATTAAAACAAACTTAAAATGGGAGCTCAGTAGTTCTTAGCCCTGGTTGCACATTTGAATCACTGAGGACAGTTGAAAACATTTCCAAGCATGGGGCTCTCCTCCAAAGACTAAATTAACTGGTCTGCTGTAGGACTCCAGCCTTGAGTTCATGCAAGCTCTCCGCATGCTTCTAATGCACTGGATTCAATCATTACTTCTCCAACTTCAACATATTTTACCTGGCAGATAATGCTTCTCTAGGTCTGGCTGGGGCCTGGGATTCTGCATTTCTAACGAGCTCCCAGGTGAAGCTGATGCTGCTAGCCCAGGACCACACTCTGAGTAGCAAGTGATTAATGATCCAGAACAGTGGTTCTAAACCTTCAATGCTCATCAGAATAACCCAATCTCTTGTTGAAAATGCAGCGCTAAGACCTGGGCCTGCCCTTCACAAACCCTGTTTCACTTGGTTTAAGGAGTGACCAAGAGAATCACTGATCTATAATGTCCATTTTGACCTGAAAATTTTTGTGATTTTATAATACGGCTTCCCTCCTATTTCAGTTGTTCAGTGAAATAAAGGACAGAGTGTGGAGCTGAGTATGTGAGACATCACTGTCAGAACGTGACGGATGGGTGAGCTCCAGGGATGTGATGTCAGCACGAGGCTAATCTTGTGCCCCGTGTATCTTCAACCTCCAGAATCTCCCCTTGAGCTAATGGGGACTTTCAAAGAACTCGGTCTGTGTGAGCAGGATTTACTGTGGGCAAAGCACTCAGATTAATTGGGAGAGCATCCTTCGTTGAGAGGAGATGACCAATGACCCTGGGCTTTTTTCTGCTCTGTGCAATACGCCATGCTTTCGAGAGCAGAATCCCCAGAGGCATGGGCTCGTCCTCCCAACCTTGGGAGCAAACCAAGGGAAGCGAAGATGGGAGAAAACATAAGCTGTGTTGCTCAGCAAAGCAGACACTGACTCCGGAAAAGCCCTGGGACCTCCAGAAGAATCCGTCCCATGAGAGAATGAATAGCTTTTCCCTTCCCGTTCTTCTTCTCACCTTCCTGGTTCCTCTTGCTCTTACTAGCTAGAAACACCCCTTCTCGGGGCCAGGCATTCACCACATTACAAGAAAAATGGAAAACTAGCCCTGGCTGGTTTGGCTCAGCGGTTAGAGCGTCGGCCTGCGGTCCGGAGAGACCCGGGTTCGGTTTCCGCTAAGGGCGCGTACCTCGGTTGCAGTTTGTCCCCGGCCCTGGTTGGTCGTGCGGGTGGCAGCCACTCGATGTGTCCCTTTCATGTCGATGTTTCTCTCTCTCTCTCTCTCTCTCTCTCTCTCTTCCTCTCTCTCCCTCCCACTCTATCTGTGCAAAAAATGGAAAAATGTCCTCTGGTGAGGATGAAAAAAAAGAAAAGAAAAATGGAAAACTATATCAGGGTCAAAAAATTACAATTCTGATATTATAATTAATACGGAAGGGGTTGGTTTCCAAGAAGTTTATGAATTTGTAAATAAATTGGTACAAGAATGGTAATGTGAAAAATGAGAGAAGATCACATTTTCTTTCTTTCCCCTTTAAAGCATTTGTACCTATAAGAACATTTGATCAGTCTGCAGAAATATCTGTATGACCTCTGCAATGGACAACTCAAAAAGGTAATAATCACATGACCGTGTCCTAGGCCACCCACATTACAGAAGGTACCAAGATGGGGCGGTCTGACCTTACTAATACCCCTCTGGTCCTGGGTTGGACTGGCCAAGGGCAGAGCCAAACTAATTGACTCAATGCCCATCTTAAGGGCCAGCCTCCATGCTGCCCTCCTCCCACTGGTCCGTAGAGCCTCGCCAGTGGAAAGGTGTGTGCGTTAGTCATCCACTCTAAAGCATGGGCATTGCTTCAGAAAGAGAGGGGCACGGGCCTCGGCCCTCAGGCCTCTCCCCACTCACTTGAGCCGTTTATCAGACCGAGGGGCATGTTGTCCAGGAAAGACTGGAGTCTGTGCCGAGGGGAGGAAGCGGGCATGGAGGGAGGGGCTGGCACAGGGCAGGGACAAGCCCCACATTCTAGTGGCCACAGAAGCCCAGAAAGGAGACTTGGGGGGTTGACCAGGGCTAGGTGGTGGGGCTCTGCATAAGGTGTTGAAGGAAAGGGCCTGTTACCTTTCAAGTGAAAGGAAGGACTAGGTAGGTAGGGAGTAAGTATCAAGACAAAGTTTTACTATGGTTCAGTTTTTCTCTGAGTTACGTTTTGATGAGGCAAGAAAATGATCACTGTGTTTTAACATTTATTTTCATTTTTTTAAAATGTTACCCTAAATAGGAAGTTAAATTCCTATAGGGCCACATTTGTTTGAAAGGCAGTGGCTTCCTTATGACATCAAACAGAGGACCGACGGCCTCTGCCAGAGATGTTTATTTTATTGCTTTGCTTACATATAGCACCCCCTATGTGGCAAAAACTGTTTTAAGTACTTAAAGTCTCACCTCCTCATGCACTGAAGAATTTATACATTAGGCTCTCTTATTTGCAGAAGAGGTTAATTTACCCAGATTGACCTTGGCAGACCCAGGATTGCACCTAGGCAGCCAGGGGCCAGGCTGTGATCCCGGACCGGACCGCTCGCTGCATTACCTGCTGCTAATCCTGAGGGGAGTGTCCCTGCTCTGGCGGAGAGGGAAACCGGACTGGGTGGACTGTTCTGGAATGTGCTCCTAGGTCATCGTCGTTGGGGCGCTTGCCCAAAGTCCAAACTCCGAAGCCTTACCCTGGATCTCTGACTGAGAAAGTCTGGGATTTGGGGGAATAGACCTAGATGATGTGTGGGGAACTTCCACCCTTACTACAAGTCCAAAATGATCTGATTGAAACATCATTCTGATTACCCTGCAATGAGCATGATATCAAAGCAGCAGTAACCTATACCATCCCCTTCCCCCAAACATTTCCGACTCCGGTGTCTAAACCACAGTCACTGACGGTGACAATTCTGACCACTCCACCCCCAGCTCCATCTGCCAGCAGCCACCAGGCTGCCTTCAGTCCTCTGAGACTCCCCACTTCCTGCCTTTTTTCCTTCTGTAAAAATTCGAAGCGTAGTCTCCTTAAATGCTTAAATTGTCTCTACCGCCAGGCACAGTGGGCATGTGTATTATCTGCAATCAACCGCCACTCTCCTTCTCTTGTTCTGACAGCTGTGCAGCTCGGGCGGGTGACTCCGCCACCCATTGTTTTCTCCCATTCACACTGAACGGACCAGACCCAGCAATGTTTCAGCGCAGGTCTGCCGTCGGGCTTGAGCCCTGCTCGAACCCCCTTTCCCTTCCTCCATTTTCCATCTCCTTCGAGCATTTTCTTACTTGCAGACCCCGTGGAAGCTGAAGGTCTGGCCAGTCTCTTACCCTCCTCCTACTTCAGCAACATCTTTGTGTCTTTGTAGTGTTTGAGAGTAGCAATGCTAATCACAGACAGCAGAGGGGTGAGCAGAACTAGCTATTATATCACTTTTGTGAATTTAAGCTCTGCTGATGAGCGCACTGACTCAAATAGATAGATCAAACAAATTCCAACCCCTCTTGACTTTAAGAAGACTGGATCATGCCCAGAAATTTGGAAACAGAGATGGAGAAGTCTTGCAAGCCCTCAAGGTTACCATGAGAAACTGGCCTGAGAGCGAGGTAAAACCAATTTAGCAGACTCCAGTGGGAAAACCAAGGCAGAATATTAGCAGTGCTCTGTGGGGAGCACAAGCGCCACCTAAAAGGGCAACCAGCCAGCACGATCAAAACAGCACTTCCTTCCCAGCTCTGCCTTGTGCCTTCCAAGATTTCAACTACTTTTCCATTGACGAATACAGGCATTGTCCTGTCCCTCAGAGCAACCGTGGTACCATTGGAATATGCCCGTCGTCAGGTTGCTTAGACTGAATGCCCTGCCTATTTCACGGAAAAGAGAAAGTACGAAATGTGGTGGGAAAACATTCTAAATGCATCCTTGAACAGAAAAGAGAGTAAACTGGAGCCTGATGCACCATCTTGAAATATGCAATAAAAATGTACACATCACCAACACTTCACAACAGGCATGCTCCTTCCTGCTCCCCAGTGCACTGGGGATTCCCTGGGGCAGGGGCTGGGCTCATGTAAAACAGGTAAGGCAGCTGCAGGAGCTGATGCCTATCTCAGGAGCCTCTCTCCCAGCTGGATTTCAGCCAGACAGGTGCTCCCTGCAAGGGCACAGCCTGCAGGAGCAGCCTTTCCGGGGGTAAAAGTGTCCCTGATGCCTTTCAAACTTCCTCTCTTTCTCCCATTTCCTTTATTACCTTGAGCTCCTTGACTGTAGAAGAATCTTTGAGCCGACTCCACATCCAAGAGTCTATGAGCAGACTCGACATCCAGAAAATAATCCATTTTGGGATAATCCATCCTTGACGCTTCAAAAACAGAGTTTTAAGACAAAATAGTCACTTGGTTGCCTGTGAAGGAGGGAAAAAAAATCACAGTATTTTAGACTGTCAAATAGATCGTTAAAGCCTCAAACATGCATATATATCATAAGCATATATGTTATCTCATTAGAATATCCTGTATTTGACTGATGTGTCCAATTCTAAAGTCACCCTTCAATATAGCTTTCCTATTATATGAGAAAATGCCACATTAAAGCAACATTCATTGAAAGTCATATATTCCACTCGGAACAAACAGATGATGCAGGCTAAAGAGAGATAACATACCAGCCTTTCCTTGTGGTCTGCCGACTGGAAATATGCTGTTGAATTCATATGCCATCTGTTTTCTAAAGGTCTGTCTGATAAATGGCATCACCAGAGATTTTCCTAGCTCTCACCCTCAGCTGGTCCAGGGAGTTCTGATTCCCCTTGAGCAGCAAAGAATCGCCTGGGAGTCAGAGCCTCCGCTTATAGATGTTTTGCATTTATGACACATGCTGACATGTTTGCTGTAAAATGCCTCCAATTCTTTTTTTTATAGCGATTCCCTCAACACATTTTGTAAAGTGCTACAGGATTACCTGCTTACCCCTGACACGGACTGAGTTTAAGAAAGAATTCTGGTTTGTAGAGCAGTGACAATTATTTCAGAATTACTACGATCCCCATAATATTATCATGCACTAGTCTTTCGGGAAGCTGGTACACTTCACTGGAAAACATTTAGCCTGTTGGGTTCTTTTCCTGACTCTTGCACAAATTAACTACTCTATTTCTGCAAGATGCTTTTAGAAAGAATTAACAAGACAAAGTCATTAAAATCAAGCTCAGAAGGCAAATTCAGCTATTTCTCTTTCTAACATTTTAATCTAAGAAACCAAGTCTGGTAAGAGGAAACTTTAAGAAATACCCAAAGGTACCCCAACAGCAAATCATACTTACTGCAAATAAAAAAAAAAAAAAAAAAAAATCAAGAGCTACCTGCCGGCAATAAAAGCAAGAGCAATTTCAGCCAGAGAGTCATTGATCTCATTAAATATTCCCGGTGGAAGTAAACAGTTTTGATTGTTCGATTAGAACGGCAATGAATAACGTATACCTTCCACTGGACTTGCTTTATCCGCTCAAATGGCCAGAGCACGTTACCTTAGCAACGGAAGGTGACGCCAACCTCAGTCTCTTTGTATCCTCCACTGTGAAGGAAGAAAATGCCCGGTTTCCTGTGTAAAACTTTGGCATAAAACCATGCCCATCAAAATCTATATGTAACAGTCACGTGGGTCCACTCTCCCTCTCTCAGTCCCCGCCCATCTCTTTTGCAGAGAAGTGTCATAGACACTAAAAAATGGTTTGGGGCTTAGTAATTTATTTCTCTAGCCCCAAGTCACAGTTTGGTGTGCAATTGCAACAGAATTGCATGAATAAACAGTTAACCTGATAAGAAAGTTGTCTGGAAATTGTTGGGGGCACCAGTTCTTACCCTAATGCTGGGTAGGGTGGTAGAAAAGGGCCGTGTTTAGCCAGCACATGTTAAACATTCTCCCGTTATAATTATTACAAAGATCAGCCATCCGCATCTAGGCTGGAAATAACTCTCTTGCCTTCTGTGAATCAGTCACTGGAAGACGCTGAAAAAGCTGTCTGAAATCTCCCAGCTTTTAAAAGACGCATTCTGTCATAGATCTTGGTGAGATTCCCCGCCAGTCCCCTCCGAAAGAAAGGTAGCCAGAAAAGATGCACGAAAGGAAGAGTCTTAAAGTTAGCACATACTCACCAGCACTTGTTGGCCCCTTTCAAAGGACACGGTAGAGCACAAGATGAAGCTGTGTAAGATGCTGAGTGTGCAAGCCGCTGAGTGTGCAAGCCCAAACGAACAGCTTCTAATTTTCCCTTCAATCCCAATTCCGGAGCGCTGAGCAGAAGAAGGAGATGGGTTTGCCCATTTTATACTGTGATGAAATGCAAACCCTAAAAGAGATCTGAGTGGAGTTGCTCTTTAGACTGCTAATTTAAGAAAATTGAAAGGTTTTGTTTTACTGTCTTTCGTGTGTTCTCTCCGCTACCCCCTCAATTTAATTTGCATTTAAAATTATGCTCATGTCTCCTCAGTTCTCCAAGGTGTGGAGTACTTTCTAATCACGACGGTTGCCTGGGTAGGGTTTGGTGCAACGCCGCTTTTATGCTGAGCTGCAAAGCAAGGTGGGTAATTATCATTGTGAGCTGTTTTCTGGAGTGAAATACACTGTGCACCTTTCATTTCACCCCTCTCTCCCTTAGTCCTGGTCTTTCTTCCTCTTTCTGCCTCTGATTGCTTGGTCAAACCTCCAGGCCAAATCATGCCAATCTGTCTAAATGCATTCCTCTCTGCCTGAATGTAGCAAAATAATCTCAACAGCAAAAACAAAACAAAACAAAACCCAACTTTGGTTAGATTCCTGAGTTGATTCTGCTTAGATATCCTCCCTACCAAAACTCAGTAAGGCCCTGGCCAGTTTGGCTCAGCGGTTAGAGTGTCGGCCTGCGGTCCGGAGAGACCCGGGTTCGGTTCCCGCTAAGGGCATGTACTTCGGTTGCAGTTTGTCCCCGGCCCTGGTTGGTCGTGCGGGTGGCAGCCACTCGATGTGTCCCTTCACGTCGATGTTTCTCACTCTCTCTCCCTCCCACTCTATCTGTACAAAAAATGGAAAAATATCCTCAGGTGAGGATTAAAAAAAAAAAAAGATTCAAAACTCAGTAAGGACTCTTAGGCACAATATTTGAGATTAGCTCATGAAAGGCATAATGATAGCCAAACACAAACCCTCTAATGGGTTTTCTACAAACTTCTTGCACCCTTTGTTGACCAAGCAGACGTGGTAACAAGTACGATGTGGTGTGGGACGTGTTGGGTTATTAAACAAAGCTACATTTGAGAAGCCTTTTGAGGAAGATCACCAGACCCCTCCCTAGACCCCTTTCTCCCATGTCTATAGCTCTGCTGACCGTTCTTTTTTGTTGTTGTTAATCCTCATCCAAGGATATTTTTTTTATTGATTTTTAGATAGAATGGAATAGAGTGGAAAGGAGGGAGAGAGAGAAAGAAACATCAATGAGAGAGACACACCGATTGGTTGCCTCCTGAACGACCCAGACGAGGACCGGGCATGAAACCTGTGACCCAGGTACCCACCCTTGAAGGGGAATCAAACTGGAGCTCTTTGGTCCACAGGCCCATGCTCTAACTGCTGAGCCACACCAGCCAGGGTTCTGCTGACTGTTCTTAAGACAAACATGAAAACCTACTGTTTGCCTTGTGGGTTTTCCTACCCAATCAGAACAAATTAGACACAAAGTTGGTGTCACAGAGAATTAAGTCTAATGAAAGAGGAAGCTAAAATGACCAATTATATGTCCTTTGTAGGGAAAGTCAAAAGTCCACTTTAGACTCAGAAAACAGGCAAACCTTGGAGATACCGGGAGTTTGAGTCAAGACCAGCACAATAAAGCAAGTCGTCATCTTTTTGCTGGTGGAGGGTCTTGACTTCAGTTTGTAACAAACAGACAATGCAATGCAACACCTGTGAAGTGCAACAAAGCAAAGCACCACAGAATGAGGTCTGCCTGTGCTGAAAGCTGTGCCCAAGACCCGGGAACTTAACTTTTCTAAGGTTACATTTCTATTCAGCCCCCAATGGAGACATGCTGAACACTTGACATTTACAAGAGAAAGCTGTCTTCTGGTTCCTTTAGCTTACAGTGAAGTGTGGGCGAGAGGTTCTGAACTCTATTGTGATTCGACTGAAATTGTAATGACTCATAGGAGAGAGAGAGAGGGAGGGAGGGAGGGAGGGAGAGAGAAAATGAGAGACAATGTACAATTTACTGACAAACACCAATCATTTAGGTGAGCACAAATGAAAGTGTGATTGAAGGAGATGCTAAATTGGAAATTTGAAAAATAGAGTTGATTCCTAGGGGTTGGGGATGAGTTTCGAAGTCAGTCATTTCTGAAGAGTTGACCAAGAAAGGGAAATTTGAAATGTCTTACATAGAAATGTAAAAGGGCCATGACTTAAGAAAATTCAGAAAAGTTTCAACTTAGTAAAAAGAAATGTATTTTAAAAGAGGATGATGGATTATTCACTTGTAAAACGGGACTTTATTTTACTAAATAGTTAATGACTGGGTTCTTTAAAATAGACTGACCAGTTTCTGAAGTTCAAAACATGACTTTACTCCTGGGGAGCACAGCTGCAGTTTACATGCAGGAATACCTGTGTGAGGAATGTTTTTTAGGTGGGGGAGCACCATAGTGTTCAAAACCCAATGTCAAAATCCAATCAGCTCAGCTCTGTTTTATAACTTTAAGCTACTCAAAGGCAACACTGGGAAAGGCCCATTGTTCTGAGCTATAATAGAACCTGACAGAGAAGGCAAGGTTAGAGCAAGTATTCAGACTCACATTTATGCAGCACTGAACCATTCAGCCCAAAACATCCTCAAGACATCAGTTCTAAAAATGAACTCAGTGTTACCATCTCAGTGAGCTAGAATTAAAAAAAAAAAAAGTAGAATTTTATCTTTTAAAAAAATCCTCACCCAAGAATATGTTTATTGATTTTATAGAGAGGAAGAGAAGGAGGGAGGAAGGGAAGGAGGGAGGGAGGGAGGGAGGGAGAAAAAGAGTGAGAGAGAGAAACACTGACTGGTTGCCCTTCGTATGCGCCCCAACACCTGAGGACTGAACCTGCATCCAAATTATGTGTCCTGATGGAGAATTGAACCCGCATCTTTTGGTGTATGACTCTCCAACCAACTGAGCCACATCAGCCAGGGCAGAATTTTATCTTTATTTTTATGTTTTAAAATACATTTTAGCCCTGGCCAGTTTGGCTCAGCGGTTGGAGCGTCGGCCTGCGGTACAGAGAGACCCGGGTTCGGTTCCCACTAAGGGCATGTACCTCGGTTGCAGTTTGTCCCCTGCCCTGGTTGGTC